TGATATTTTGTTGTAGTTGAGTAGATGGGTGTGAGAGAAAAGTAATTGAGGAGGACAGAGAAGAGAGAAAAGGTGATTGATTGATGTGTAGGGGAGAGAAAGTGATTTTGGAAAAAAAATTCAAAAAAATTGAACCAAACAAAATTTTGAAAATTTTTCTGAAAAATTGTATCTTGAGATACAAACCAAACAAGCCCATATTTTCCCAAGTTGCCAGGTAAAAAAACCCGATCAACTATGAAAAACCCTATCTGCACCTTGCATCCAACAAACCCCTTGTACTTATTGACAAAAACTCAGACCCAAACAAAGGGGAAGATTGAAAGTGATATGCATGTGTGAGGAGATATAGATTTGGAAGCAAAAGGAAAGAACATTTTTGCAATAAAATCGCATCAAAGCCTTATTCACAACTCTATTTTATCAAAGAATGATAAGGGCCATCAGTACTGTAGGTACTTGGCTCAATAAAGGTACAGTTTTAGATTAATAAATCCTGTACATACCTTTCCAATTGCCCGTGCTGCATGGATCAAAAACCAGGATTCACAAGTTGAAAACCATACCCGGGAAAAATGTACAATTTTTTTTTGATAAATGAGCAAACTTTATTAGAAAAGCATTGAGGCGATGTAAAGAATACAAAGAAGATAGCAGCCCACAATGCCCACAAACTGTAACTAAGCAAATTGTTAAAATCCACCTACTCTCCACCTACTTCACCCACTTAAACCTACTCCACTAAACCTAACCCACTACACCACTACCACCTCAACTTCACCTACTCCTTACCTACTACACACTCAACCTCTTCTATATATAGGAATCATGAATCATTGTAATAGACATCAATACATCAATCAATAATACATCAATTTTAACATGGTATCAGAGCTATAAGATTTAGGCCTATACTCCTTTCTTTCCGGCGGGCAGCCGGCCGGCAACCTTGCCTTCGCTGCCCGCTGGAATTTTTTCAACACATACCACAAACACATACCAGAAACTCTTCTTTCTTTGTTTCCTCATCTTCATCACTCTCAGTTTCCTTCTTCGAAGCTTCACAACAATGTTGTATCTTCTGCGATTCATCCCACCACGAGCGTCCAGGAGCTTCTCAAATGCCCTGTTTGTACCAATTCAATGTACCCTCCTATACACCAGTCTTTGTAGTGGCTTGCTGGCTTTGTACTCTTGGAAATCTGGACGTGCTTTTTTGCAGTACTCGATGACCTTAGCGAGGATCTTGCTGGTTACTACACACTCAACCTCTTCTATATATAGGAATCATGAATCATTGTAATAGACATCAATACATCAATCAATAATACATCAATTTTAACACAAATCTTCCACAAAATGTACAAAAATCAAAACATCAAGGTCAACCGAACCCGTAACCCAACTATGCAACACCATAAGAAGCTTACTTTCTAACCAAGGAATTGAATGACACAAATTTTTAAAAATACGTCTGTTACACTCCAACCAAACCAGCCACAATAAGCAATGGGAAGCAAGTAACTAAGCCTTCTGACACCTCTTACCCACTCTCGCCCCACCCCAACTATGCAACACTCCCAACACAGACCCCGACTGCACCCAAATCAAACCAAAAAAAGCAACAATCAAACACCAAAGTTGAGACACAACCGGATAATGAACAAGCAAATGATCTACTGTTTACAGTTTCCGTATTCCTGCAACACATACAACACCAATTTACCAACACATGTCGCCGCCGAATCAAGTTATCAATAGTGAGGATACGACCCAAGGCAGCTATCCAAACGAAGAAAGCTACCTTGGAAGGAGATCCCATCGCGCAAATATACTTCCAAGGAAACACAATGGCATTGCCCCCTGCAAGCGCCCCATAAAACGAGGACATTGAGAAGACACCTTTAGACCTCCGACCTTCCCACACCAAAGAATCCACAAATTGGTCTAGCTACCAATCTTGCACATCCCGTTGAAAATGAACATTCCAAACAACTAACTGCCCTTGCCTCACCCTAACTGAAACAACCATCTCCTCCCTATCAACTGCAATGGCATAAATCAAAGGAAACATGCTAGCCAAAGACATCGCACCACACCACCGATCCTGCCAAAAACAAACCCTATCCCCCACCCCCACTTTAAATCCAACCCTATCCCAAAAGTCCTCTCTTCCTAACCAAATCCCTTTCCACACACCACGACCATAAGATTGAATCACTCTCTTCGAACACCAACCCCCCCCTCATCCCCATACTTAACCATCACCACCCTCCTCCATAACCGCTCCTTTTCCTCTACAAAATACCACAACCACTTCCCCAATAGAGCCTGATTTAACACCACCAATCTTCTCACACCCAAACCCCCCCTCTCCTTAGTAGTACAAACCCTCTCCCAATCCATCAAGTGGTAATGAAAACCCTCCCCTCTCCTACCCCACCCACTCCACAAGAAATCCCATTGCAATTTCTTCAACCTCTGTGCCACCCCCACAGGAATCACATGCACAGACATAAAATACGTCGGAAAGGAATACTAGAAAGGACACTCTTGATCAAAGTAATCTGCCCCTCTTTTGACAAGTATTGTCACTTTCACCCCACTAATCACCGCTACGCCCTATCCAACACCCCATCCCACACCCTTGACTCCTTAAAGGTAGCCCCCAAAGGAAGTCCCAAATAAGAAACTGGTAATATAGCCACCATACAACCCAAAACAGCCGCCAACTTCAAGGCTATGAAAACAAAAGAAAAAATAAGAACTGTGCAAATTCTTCTAAGCATATCCAGCACAAGCCAAAATCACCTAGGAAATCTTCAGCCTTGGGAACGCCAATACTAATTTGACACCAGGGCAAAGTTTATATGCCCAGTGAACAGAAGTGAATTAAATTGGCAAAAATATGCCAAGGAAATATCTTAATTGAGAAATTTGCTCATCCAAGAGGCGGGTGGGAGACGTTTCCAACAGCAAATTTCCAAGTCTAACACATAATGCAAAAAGATAAAAGAAAATAAACTGAAAAAAGAAAAGAAAGAAGTATCTCAAAGTATGAGAACCTACATAAGGTTGATGGTATTCAAATGAATGCTTTGTCCTTTTGCAGGCAATCATCAATTTAGTGCACATCAAAAGCTCTCAGCAAAAATAAAATTGCAACATTATATTATTACTGTAAGTAGCTCAAAAGACCACTTCATATTGGACATATTCCAAGCCAGAAACGGTGATAAGACTTATCAGTGCCACCATGCTCTCTGGACCAAATGCATCATGAGTGGTATAGGTCAACAACAGACACTATATCCTAAATCACGTCTGGATTAATATCAACTTATACAATACAGTAAAACTTCAGATCTTGGCACATTTGTTTGTGGATAAAAATCTGATTTGAATATCCACATTGAAACACAAAACAAGAAACTCAACATAATGTTCATTAAGTAAATCTCATTCTATAATGTTCATGATACACACAACTAACACTTCAAAAACAACCATAATTATGTCTCACACCTAAATCATTTTCTCACATAACAGCAAAAATTGGTCACTGGTGGTGCACCATGAGAGAAGGTAATCGCCACAATCCAGTCCACTCTTTGCAATTGTACGTGTTCAACAGTTGAAGAGTCATTGTTTAATGAAGAGCACATAATTCTTAAACATTGCAACACACCAAACCCAGACATTCCCTTTGTACAGATTTCAGCATGATTCAAAGCTCAATCATCCAAAATTTCAACATACCTGACCAATGGTTTTAAACTGTCCTCGGTAGCTCAAGCGGTCTACTGAATTGTTCCATATTGCAGTTCATGAAAGATGCCACAGAATCAAGCAGCAGACCACGTCTTGACTCCTAACTAAATGAATATATTTCCAACTCCCCAAAATAGATATGAGGACTCCAAGCACTTTGCATACACACACACACGTATATATAAGAGCCAGTAAAGGGAGGTAGTTAAACAAGACTAATTGCTTGCAAATCTCAATCAAACCTATAGACCATCCAAACATTTGAAATATTTAACTTTGAATCAAAAGCATCTGAAATCACCCATTCCTTTCTTAAAAAATAAGAAGTAATTATATGCATGATTGTCGACATTAACACATTCCATTTAAATCAAGAAACGAAATTTCCTCATCCATAAAAGATGAAGCAAACTTATTCTTAAAGTAATCCACCACTACAAAAAGTTATAAAGTAATCAAAATTATAAAGTTATCCACCATTACACAAAGCATACTTTTCACATTCTTAGCACATACAACTGCAAAAATAAAGATTTCCAACACATAATCTGCCTCATCGAGGTAGCTAGTTTAAATGCCACTCAATCTCACATAACTTCATGGCAAATAAATAGCCAAAACTGATAAACCACCAGCAACTTGATAAACAGAAGCTAGCTTCTCATCTTGGCTAACTGGTAAACAGTTCGCAGTTTTACTCGTGTCATGTAAATTAAATTCTAACAAAATCATAAATCCTAATTTTAACCTTGGCAAAGATCTCTTCAGTTCTAAATATATAATAATCTAACTTTAAAAATAAAATAAAAAATATATTAAAAAAAAAGGAGGGGGGGGAACCCCACCGTCATTCATTCATTCATGCGTCAAGCATTTTCCCCCTCCCACATACTTACCAACTTACATAGACATCAAAAACTCCTCCACTCCCTAAAATCTTCCAAAAATAAACTATTCAATATTCTTTAGCAAGTACATTTAGATGAATATGCAACTCGATAGAGGTAGCCTAAAAGATCTGTCTATGTCACTGTTCTTCAATTTGCGCCCCCCACCCAAAAAAAAGAAAAGAAACAAACCCGGGGGGGGGGGAGGGGGGGTGCCTATCTATGTGGCTAAGTTCATCTAATGCAGATTCAAAGCTCAAAATTAGCAAACATCTGCAAACAACATATTCTTTTGCAACAAAAGAAAGAAGCCAATTTGGCCCAATGTTATCAAATTCAAACCTGCCACAGGCAACACACTGAAGAGGTGCCTGCCTCCCATTTTCCAAGTAATTCTTCTTCTGACTCTCGTTCGAATAAACCAACTTCACAAAATGCAAAAAGGACTTTTTCAAAGCACCCTCATCAACAATATCATTGTGCTTAAAACCCACATTGTGCATATTCTCATGACCCCCATCACCAACTCTCATATACTTTGCCGCGCTCAATTCATTGCCTCTGGGATTGCTAGTTCCAGCCAAAAACTCACCCCTATCACTCAAACCCATCATCATATACCTATTCTGATTCAAACCCACATCCCCATGCTGCAAAAGCTGTTGCCTTTGTCTTTCAAATTCATCATTCCCATCTTTTCCTTCTCTCTCATCATCACCATACTTCCTCTTCATTGGTCCAAGCGAATTCCAGTAACCCTGGTTCCGATCAAGCATAAAAATCTCATCACGGTCACGAAATTCAGGACTCATCGGACCCATTGGAGGGAATCGGGTATCAAAACCTCGGCCCGGACCGGCCAATTCCGGGCCCAGATGCACTGCCGGTTTGAAATTCTGATAATCAGGAGGCAGAGCGAGATACGATCGGACATTGCTGTCGGCGAGAACGATCGACCTTCGTTCCAGCATGTGAAACCCGTACGCCGGAGGTGGTGGAGGTCCGATATCGTCCGGGAATGGAAATGGAGCTCCGGACAGGTTTGGGGTAGGGGATGGGGCGGGTTTTGGGGTAGGGTCGTTGTTAGTGAGGTTTGAGGAGGGTTTGGGTGGTGGTGGTGGTGGTGGGTTTGAGTCGGCGGAGATGGATGGTTTGGTGGCGGAGGAAGGGTGGTTGATGGCAGAGTGCCACCGGGACTTAGGGTTGGAAGATGAAGAAGAAGGGTTGTGGGATGAGCCCTTCCCCTTGGAATGGTTACCTCTGCCCATCCCCTCTCCCTCTCTCTCTCTCTCTCTCTCTCCCTCCCTCTCCCTCTCCCTATCTATTTTTGGGTTCAAAAATACTATGATGCACTTTCTTCCGATGTGTCAATTCCGTGAGGTTTTTACGTGGTGGTACGATCATTTAGGTCAAGTTTGGCGATCCTTACAAAATTTAAAAAGTTAAAAAATTACTATTCTATTTAAATCACATCATCTTATTTAAGTTGCATCACTTGTTTAACATATCACTTCAAACTCAATCCAAACTCAACCCATATTTCATAAAAAGTCAAAAAGTACACTTATTTAGTCTTCCCAAACTTGACCTTAATTGATCATAAAGATTGCCATTCTCTTTAAAAAAAAAAATTAGAAGGTTACTATTTTATTTAAGTATTTTATTTTAGGGGGATTTTTTTTAAAGTCCCTGATATTAAGAATTTATAGCATAAAGGACACTCAATATTTTCATAATGTCTAAGGTCCTTCAACATCAATCCAGAGAAAATTCGATCCAGAGAAAATTCGGTCCAGAGAATTTCTCTGGAAAATCCAGAGAAATTCTCTCCAGACATCCAGAGAAATTCTCTTTATCCAGAGAAAATTCAGATAGTCCAGAAAAAATTTAGACATCCAGAGAAAATTCAGATAGTTTAGAGAAAATTCACAAAATCCAAGAAACTCTGCATCATCATGCATTTTATATGTTCTCTTACAAATATCTTTTTCATGAAGAGTTGCTATCAAAATTCTGTTTGCTAATCCTAGTGCTCTTTGTAGATCAAGTCCAACAAGATGAGGTGGTTGACAGTAAGATCTTGCAATACCCTAGCATAGACAAGAAAGAAAAAAAGTCATTCCCTAGACTTCCAGAGAAAATTCAACTTCAAAGAGAAAATTAGTCCAAGAATTTCTCTGGACTTTCCAATTTCTCTAACATTCCCTAGATTCCCACTGTAAATTTCTCTGGCCTTCCATTCTCTCCAGAGAAATTTCCATTCTCTCCAAAGAAATTGTAATGTGCTTCATCTTGTTTGAATATGCTATATTGTTGATATTGATTCAGAAATTCTACAATTGTTTGGGAAATTCCTATCATTTTCTTTGAATGAATTCAATAAATTTTTGTTGTACTTATCTACAAATTTTCCAGGGTATATCTATCATTACCTAATTCCAAATTTCTCTGGACTTCTTTTCAAATTTATCTGGACTTCCCACTGTCCAGAGAAATTCTCGCCAAATTTCTCTGGATTTCCCACTGTAATTTCTTTGGACAAAGTAAGTTCAAGTCTCATCTTACCCTAAACTCTCTCTCACTCTCTAATATTTTTTCTTTGGATATATGGTTGTAGAAGAAGCTTCTGATTCTCCAAATGAACCTTTCTGAGTTTTTCAAATCAACTCTTTCATTTTTCAATCCATTGATTTTTCCATTGGTTCAGATAGTACTGATTTTTCGATTTAAACTCAAAAACTAAGAAATCAACCCATCTCTGAATGTGAGATTTCTTGATTTTGAATGATTTTCTTGAGCAAGAAAATGAAAGAGAAAAGGCAGAGAAGAACCATGGCTTGATTTTTTTTTTTTCAAATTTCTCACCAAAACGACGTCGTTTTGGTGAGATTTTAATGTCAACCGTTGGATCGATCACTCTAGGAGATAACTGTAGGCTTCTCACTCTAGAAGATCCCGACGCAATTCCGTGAGGTTTTTACGTGGTGGTATGATCATTTAGGCCAAGTTTGGCAACTCTTAAAAAATCCAAAAAGTCAAAAAGTCACTATCCTATTTAAATCACATCATCTTATTTAAGTCGCATCACCTGTCTAACACATCACTTCAAACCCAACCCAAACCCAACCCATATTTCATAAAAAGTCAAAAAGTACACTTATTTAGTCTTCCCAAACTTGGCCTTAATTGATCATAAAGATTGCCATTCTCTTTATAAAAAAAAATTAGAAGGTTACTATTTTATTTAAGTATTTTATTTTATTTAAGTTATATCATTTTAAATTTAATTCATATTTAATTTTATATTTTATAAAAAGTTAAAAAATATATTTATTTAAAACATTCTAAACAACCCCTGAGTCAGTAGTTTCGTGCCTTAATGTGGTCTCAAGATTAGTCCCAAGCAGTCCATGGCATACATGTCACTAAGTAGCCAACAGCAAGGCCGCCATTAGGCCACAACTTAGTCGCTTGCCCAAGACAGACCAGGCTGCAACCTAGGTTAGAGTGGACCATCGCTCAGGCCGTAAACCGTTCGATCATGCTGCACGCCTGCCATGCCATGTTGCCCACTGCCCAATCCATGGCCCAACAGCAGCAAGCCATCAAGGTAGATTTTTGGCGCATTGTTTGAATGTCCAAATGAAGGAGTTTTGAGCTAAAATTTTAACTGGAAAAAGATCTTGGGGAAAGTGTTTTCTCAGCCAAGTTTCATGATTTTTTCCAATTTGTAAAATTTTTAAAAAATTATTATGACTCCTCAAGCATAAGGCATGTTTCCTCTTGTTAGTTAACAAAAGGCTTAAAAAAGCATATATAAGGAGGTATGGTGTGCTTTCTGCTTGCCTTCCCACCCAAATTGGACTTGAAGTGAGCAGCCTTAGGATAACTTAATGGCGGACTTTAGGCATCCAAAGGGGTGTCTAAAGTCTTTACGCGGGTTTAAAAGCCCCGTGGACGATGTAAAAATGTAAGCACTGTACGTGCCTCCTGGACGGCGAAGTTTAAGACATACCTTCTATTATGCCACGTGTTATGGCATCTTAGGGGTCGTTTTAGACCAAATAGGCTATCGAGACACCACCAAAGGTCTCATGTGCTAACTCACATGCATGATTTGGGTTCAACCTTACATGTGGGGATCCCATAGCTTAAGCTAAGTAATTGGACGGCAATGCCGCATATGCAGGTTATCGAATGACAGCATCAAGCTATCCATTGATCAAATTCATTGAGGGATGACATTATGCTACAAGCGAGCTGCAGATTGAGACTTTACCTTACTCGAGCACACGTTGGTGCAACACTAAGGTGCAAAATGGCCTTAGGCAGAATCTAACACACGTATCGGCTTAAGAACTACACCGTGGGCATGAAATTGACCCTCGGTGTCTTGTAGGCTTTGTATAACCATGTGGCTATCCAATATGTATCGATTGAGGCATGCTTGACCCTGTGACACTTCGAGATTTTGTTAAAGACCCAACATGTTATGTTGACTTGTCGGCTAAGTCGAGGGTTTTCGCTAGCACATTGTTATGTGGCTAGGAGCCTTAATGACATGAACCTAAGTTGGGCGAGCACCTTGCTTGAAATAAGCTTGGCACTATGAAGCGACTCATGTTGTGTGTTGATATACTTGAGGTGTCATGCTTACTTGTGGTATTCAGCTGAAAACAGAGCTTCATATGGGAGTTATTTAGCTTGACAAGGTATTGGACCTGAGTGTTCAAAACAGGTGAAATCATCAACACTCGATTTGTCAATGAGTTATGGCGAGTTTAAACTTGGTAGAGTTTGAGTGCCATAATCGTTCTGTTACGCCTCTAAAGAAGTCAGCCTGTGACGCAATGCCAATGATGAGTTTGCATATATGTGTTACTAGCTAATGACACATTGTAACTTGTGTAACTTAAATAAGTAAGAATAAAATAAAATAATAATGAGATTAATATTATAGTGTGTATTTAGTTTTAAGTGCAATGGGTTCTGTAACAACCTGAAAATTTAAGTTGTCCTTTAAATTTTATATTAGTATTATTTAATTATAAATGAAAAAAATATAATTTTATATATAATTAATTAAGCTAATATATATATATATATATATAGATCAAGATGCTTATCCTTGCGGATAAGCATGCAGCACGGAAGGGTCACGTGGTGGATACATGTGGTTCCTTGGGGAGGGAGGTAAATGGTTTGGAGAAGAAGAAAGACACCTATATAAGGGTGTCTCGAGAAAGAAAAGAGGAGTAAGGAAAGAGTAGTCAGTCAGTAAAGGAGGATATTTCGATAAAGGATTAATATTTACGTGAGTTATATTATACCTTGAGTTACCATAATATATTTTACGTTTGTTTTGAGTTATCATGATTTATTTTACGTAATTTATATTTTATAAACTATATTAATATTTCAATTACGTTGATTATTTTCTGATATCTATTTGCTTAAAATGAAATCCATGGATATGTATGTTTAAATTTTATTATTTATTTGACAGTGATTTTATAAGCAATTATTTTCTGTAAGTACCATCATGGAGGTCCCATGCCTTGGGGAACTTAAATAACCATTGGCCCTCTGATTAGTCACTTTGTGACCCACTGTCTGTCATGAATCCACTGACATTCTGATTTCTGGTATAAAGCAAAATGTTGTAGGGAGCTGAGTACTACACTATTGTGGGAGCCACCTCTAGAGTTCGTATGAGCCACCTCTTGAATCCTATTCTGGTGTGGAGCAAAGTGCTATACGGAGCTAAGTGCTACACTATTATGGGAGTTACCTCTAGAGTTCATATAAGCTATCTCTTGAGTTCATACATCTGTTCTGCTCTGTACTGTGGTTATCATTATTCTGTTATATGATTTTTGTATTATATGTCAAATGATTTCTGTATTATATATTGTGTATTTTAATATCAAACTATGTTTAGCCCCATAATTATCCATGGTGAATTTTATGTCCTTATGCTCTTAGTATAATATTTCTCACTCTGCCATGTGCTTATAGCTGTTTACCAATTTTCAGGAAATATGTAATTCAGAAATAGCTTTTGGAAAGTCTTAGACGCGGGGCTGCAGAATAGACACACATAGAACTTTTATGATATTTTTTATATGTAAATATCGACCTTTTGGTCAATATAATTTTGTAATAAAAATAGAAGGTCCAATGATTATTTTAGTACCCTTATTTAAATATTTTTCCGCTCGCGTTTATTTATTTGTTAAAGATTTGGCTGGAGATAACCTCAGTTACTGGCCATCACGATACTTAACCCTTGGGTACGGGGAGCGGGTCGTGACACAAACTCACCTC